TGCTCTTGGCGAGGCACTGAGCTCACGGCAAAGGCACAGCGTGGGGAATGCTGCCGTGGGCAGCCCTTGGCACCGCAGCACCTGGAGAGGGGAGGGCACCTGAACCTTGGAGAAGGAGCAGACCCTGAGAAGCTCAACAAGGCCGAGTGCAGGGTCCTGCACTGGGTCAGGACAGGAGGCATGGAGGGATGGAGAGCAGCCCTTCAGAGAAGGACTTGGGTGACAAATTGGGTGTGACCTGGCCAGGTGCTCTCCCAGCCTGGAAAGCCAGCTGTGTCCTGGGCCCATCCCCAGCAGCAGGTGAGGGGGAAATTCTGCCCTCTCATAATAAGACCCCCACACTGGAGCACTGCATCCAGCTCTGGTGTCTCCAGCACAAGGCACACAGGGACAGAGCAGGTCCAGAGGAGTCCATGGAGCTGCTCCAGGGCTGAAGCCCCTCTGCTCTGGGGCCAGGCTGGGAGAGCTGGGGGTGTTCACCTGGAGAAGGCTCCAGGGAAACCTTAGAGCCCCTTCCAGTGCCAGGAGAGCTAGAAAGGGACTTTGGAGAGAAAGGACAAGGGAGAATGGCTTCCCACTGACAGAGGGCAGGGTTAGATGGGATATTGGGAAGGAATTGTTCCCTGTGAGGGTGGTGGGGCCCTGGCACAGCTCTGGAAGTGTCCAAGGCCAGGTTGGTTGGGGCTTGGAGCAATCTGGTCTAGTGGGAGGTGTCTCTGCCCATGGAGTGGGGTGGAATAAGATGAACTTTAAGGTCCCTTCCAACCCAAACCATCTGGTGGGACTATCAAAAGTGAGAGCCAACCCCTGTCTCTCTGGCACTGAAGGCTTTGTACCCCGTGCCCATCTCTCCCACTGGCATGCTGCTGGGCACTGCCACCAGTGCCCAGGGACAAACCTGGCTGTGCAGGAAGTCCTTGACTTTGCTGTACTCAGCCTCCAGGTTGTTCTTGAGGACAATCTGGCACCAGCGCAGCCGCAGCTCAGCGTTCTGGGCCTTGGAGATCTTGGGGTACATCTTGCTCAGCCTTTTCACGTTTCCTGTGAGAGGGGAGCACTCACCATCCCCTGGGGGCTCTGACCCAGCTCCCAGCCCCTGCTCCCAGGGAACCCTGTCAGTGCATCCCAGCTGTGCTGCAAATTCTCTGGGATCCTCCCAGCCCTGGCCCCTGCCCAAGCACCCCCACCCCCAGCTCTGGAGCTCCCCGGGCTCTTGCTGGCCCTGGGCAGGACGGTGCCCTTGCTGGGCTCCCAGGCTGGGCAGGGCCATGTGCTGGTGCCTTGGGGTGCCAGCACATAGTGGGGGGAGATTCCTCAGCAAAGAGGGCAAGGAGAGTTGCAGTGACATGGGGACACAGTCCAGCAGAGCCAGCATGGGGACAGCAGGACTGCACATGTCCCCATAAATCCAGGGACAGGCTTCCCCTGGCTCTCCATCCTCCACCACAACCAACCGAGGCTTCCCTGGAACCAGGACTCAGAGCAGTTGGAGAGGGGCTGATGGCCACACACCAGAGTGTCCCCACAGTGTGCCCTCTGGGTGGACTTGGGCACATCACCCTGTGTCTCCTCTGGGCACCAGAGCCCTGGCAGTGCCCTGGCACTCACCTTCAGGCAGGGGGGACTTCTGCAGGATCTGATCCAGGAAATAGACCAGCTGGTATGTCCTCCAGCCCATGATGTCCACGGCTTCAATGGCCTCCATGTTCAAGCTGTCGGCTGCCCAGAGCTCTGCCAGCTCCTCCGCCGGCCTCATCAGCTGCTGCCCCGGGGACAGGTCAGGCAGGTAGGGCGGCCAGCCCGGCGTGTTCAGCCAGCGGTCAAACTCAAACCCTGCAGCAGGGCAGGAGGGAGAGCTGGGAACAGAGCCCTGAGCCCACACCAGCTGCTGCTGCCCAGAGCCCCCCACCTTCCCCAGTGCCACCAAACCTGCCCAAGGATGGTGACAACCACAAACTAACGGGGTGAGGCCATCAGACACGTGGGCTCAGGGTGTGCTTGTGGGTATCAGCCCCAGCACCATCAGCTCCAGCTCCTGCCAAGCCTGGATCTCCAGCAAGGCTGGGCCAAATCCAGAGTGCTGGCTGGGCCTGATCCCAGTGCTCACCCGACTCACCAGGCTGAGTCACAGACACCCCATGAAACAGCACCCAAGTGCAGAGCAGGGACTGGGTTTGAATGGAAAAAAATCAGGCTGAGCTGGCACATGGCCAAGCCTGGGCCTGATCCCAGCTGGCCAGTGCCACCCATGCCTGCTCTGACAGAGCCAGGCTGGCAGCAGCAGCACCTCCAGTAAAACACACAAAGCAATGTGCAAAGGCTCTGGGGGACATGGGCTGCTCTGACACCCACGGGAGTGGGGCGAAGAAGTGGCAGCCCCTGTTCCCTGGCAGGATGGTGCTGTGCTGACCTGGGATGGAGTCCACGCCTTTCTCCTTCAGCTCTGGGAAGTACTCCAGGAAGAACCCGAGGGTGTCGTCTGCAGTGATGCTCTGGAACTTGAACCGGTTCACGTAGGCCTGTGGGGACAGATGGGGCTGATGCCAGACTCTGTCACCCAGCAGTGCTGCCCAGGCCTCTGTGTGCTCCATCTCATGGGGGAACCCCTTCCAGCCCCTGTTCCCTCCAGGGGCTCCCAGCCCCTGCATCCCCAGGGATACCCCTCAACATTCCCAGCACCTGCTGCAAGCACAAGGCGAGGCTCTGCCTTCATCTTACTCCCCTATTCACATTCCCATTTCCCACCTCTTCTTCCTCTCCCCAGCCACCCTCTCAGCCCATCCTTCCCAGGCTCCTGCTGTGCTTTGGCCTCCTGCCGTGGCATTTTGACTTTGCAGCTCACACTCACCTGGAGGAAGGCATCAAACTTGCTCTGGTTGCCCACAAGATGGGCCAAGTAGCTAACGAAGCAGTACCCCTTCTCATAGGGTGTTTCATTGTATGTGTCATCTGGATTGATACCTAGAAAAAGGCAAAACCATCAGAAATCCTCTGTCCAGCTGCAAAACAACACAGCCCTCACAGGCACCAAGATTCCCCCATCAGTGCTGGGTGCAGCCTATCCCATCCCTCCTGCAGCCACCAGGTCCCATCACCCGTGCTGGTGTTATTGCCAGCCATGGAACAGCCTGGCCCCCAGCCCACCTGTCCTTGTCTCACTCCCTCAGAGCCCAGGGACACCCAGGGGCACCCAGGGGCACCCAGGGACACTCAGGGACACTCAGGGACACTCAGGGACACCCAGGGGCACCCAGGGACACTCAGGGACACCCAGGGACACCCAGGGACACTCAGGGACACCCAGGGACACTCAGGGACACCCAGGGACACCCAGAGACACTCAGGGGCACCCAGGGACACTCAGGGGCACCCAGGGACACCCAAGGACACCCAGGGGCACCCAGGGACACTCAGGGACACCCAGGGACACCGACCTGGCTCGATCACCACCCGCAGCTTGTTGAGGGGATGGTCCTCCCCCGTGGCGTCCATGTGCTGGCGCAGGAGGGCCCTTCCCGTGGCAGCCTCCAGGCAGGTGTAGGGCAGACCTGGGCAGAGACAAGCGGAGGCATTCGGGCAGCCCGGGCAGACCCCTGCGCACTGCGGGCACAGCGGGCACTGCGGCGGGAGAGGAACGGCATCAGTGCACGAGCTGGGACAGCAGGAACCCACACATGAGGAGCTGGGATGGCAGAGCTCAGGGGGGCACATGGGGCAACCCAGCCCCAGGCAGTGAGAGATTTTTTGAGCCACTTAAATTCATGTGGACACAGCAAATTGTGCTGGGAGAGCACAAGGTTCTGGACAGGACTGTGAGTCCAGAGGGGAGCTCAGGACAGCTGGGGTCAGCTCCACATGGGAGCTGCAGGAGGATGAGGAAGGTGAGGCAAGGACACAGTGCTCACATTCCTGGCAGGGGTGGCAGGGAACTGTCCATCTCAGAGCAAAGGCTACCAGAAATCACAGACATTAAAGATCATCTTGTTCCACCCTCTGCCATGGGCAGGGACACCTTCCACTAGACCAGGTGGCTCCAAGCCCCTTCCAACCTGGCCTTGGACACTTCCAAGGATGAAGCAGTGTCATGGTTTGACACTGGCACAATGCCAGTGCCCCCAGCCAAAGCTTCTCTGGGCCACCTGTGCCAGTGCCTCCCCAAACTCTCAATATCTAATCTAAACCTACTCCTTTTCAGTTTACAAACCCCACAGGGCCTCGCAGCTGCTGCCCTTCACCTGTTCTGAGATGCAGTGTGGGCTCCATCCCCAGGGGCACTCGGAGGGATGCCCTGAGCTGTGGGGCAGAGCCCCAGACCCGCAGGGCTCAGCACCCCCAGCAGGCAGGGCCACGCACCGTAGACCTCGGTGGAGATGCGCCTCTGGGCGTACATGGTGAAGCCCTCGTTGAGCCAGAACTCTCCCCACGAGGCGTTGGTGACCAGGTTGCCAAACCAGCTGTGGGAGATCTCGTGGATGATGACGTCCGCCAGGGAGCGGTCCCCGGCCAGCAGGCACGGCGTGACGAAGGTCAGGCAGGGGTTCTCCATGCCACCAAAGGGGAAGGAGGGCGGCATGAACAGGATGTCATACCTGCCAGGGAAGGGAAGGCCGGGCTCAGACCCTGCTCCTCTTGAAAACAGGGCTGGGGACAGAAGGAAACTCCCTGTCCCTGAGGAACCAGGTGCTTCAGGAACCTTCCAGCCATACCTGCCCCAAACATAAGGTCCAAAGAGTTTCTCTCCAACCACCAGGAACTCCTCAATCACCCCATCATATTCCTTCTTGGCAGCCTCGATCAGGCAGGGCTCGGCCCAGACGCGGCTCCTGCCAAGTGCAGAGAAGAGGAAGTTTAACCATTAGGGGACTTTCACCTTGTTGCTTCATCAGACAGAAGTTGCACGCATTTATTCCAAAGAAAAACAAAACTCTGCTGATAAAGACATCTAAAGAGACCAATAGTGCAAATTGCTGTGATTTCTTTCCTTGTCTGAATGTCAAAGGGCTTTTATATGGCTGCAGTGGCAGCCAAGAACTCAAGAAAGCACCAGCCTGTGAGGAAACGTGGGATCCTCCATGCATGGGACCCACTGCCCTCATTCATGTGCAGGGTGACATGAGCAGAGCCAGGGACCCCCCTGAAGGTGAGGGGACACAGCATCAATGCTCCTTTTCATGCTCCAGTTTGAGAAGGACCCTCATCCCACCTGGTGACACAGACAGGGACTGACTGTGCCATGCTCATGCCAGTCTCTGCTCTCCAGAGCCCCATGGAGCAGGGAGAAGCAGAAAGTGGCTGCCACAGGAGCTTCACTGTGCAGCTGCCACAGCTCTGGAGGCCTCCTGAGCCCCTTACCTTGGGCCAACATCAGCAGACACGATGTCCCCAACAACCAGAGCGATCAGGTAGGAGGGGATTGGCTGGGACATCTTGAACACAAAGGTGTTGTCCTTCTGCTTCTCCCAGCTCGTGGCACTCATCACAGCCGTGAAGCCCTCGGGGACCTGACCACGGGGACAGAGCCACCCATGAGATTCACAGCACACACAGTGGCAGGCCAGCTCAGCCAGCTGGGACACCACAGTGTCTGATGGCAAATGTGTCCCAGCCTGAAGGTGCCAGGGGCACTGCAGGCTTTGGGGAGCAGAGCAGGAACACCCCAAGCTGCCACTCAGCTGCATCCCTGCCATGCTGGAGTAGCTGGAGCTGCCCCAGGTGCCCCTGGAGCTAGCAGGAGATAAGGAAATGCTGGAGCTGCAGGTGTGAAAGGGCAGAGGATGCAGATCCCTCAGCTGCTGACTCCCCTCCCAGTCCTTGCACAACAACTCATTTTTCCTGCTCCCAAGCCAGTGCAGAACCCGTGGCAAATCCACCAGCCTGGGCTGAGCCCAGGGACACTGATGCAGTGTGCCCCAGCCCAAGCAGGGGGTGAGTCCGTGGTGCACAGGGAACACAGAGCTCACACCAGAGCTCAGCAACAGCCCCACGCTCACCCTGTGGCACCAGACGGGCTCTGCCCTGGGAGAGCAAAATAAACCAATCCTGGCATCACCAGCTGATGCCACCACACACAATTGGCATGGATGGTATCACACCATGAGGCATTCCCCTTGCCCACAGCAGGATGGCATGCATGGCAGCCCAGTGCCAGTGTCACCACATGCCCACACAGACAAGGGGGGAATCTGGATTTAGTGCCATCTTTGGGGAACAGCAGCTGCTCCCTCCTGGAAGTCTGGCAGCCCCAGAATTGCCACCAGGAGCCAGCATGGCCCAGCAGCACCACCCTCCTCCAGCTGCTTCCCCCAAACTCAGCCCCTCCTGCTACAGATGCCAGGAGCTCTGGGCAGCACAGCCAGGCCAGCACATGGCACCCACTCCTGGGCACCAGCACTGCACCTGGGGAGAGGCAGCAGCGCCCTGGGGCTGCTTGTCTCCATGCAAAAGGGCATCTAAGAGAAAAACAGCCCAAGTACAGGTGAGTGATTTCTCAGCTGGGGCTGAGGAGGAGGGTTTGAAGCAGTGTCCCTGCTGTGATGCCCCAGGGCTTAGGCACATTCCCTGCAAGGGACCCCACAGCTCAGAGCAGTTTAAGCTGGAAGGGACATTAAAGATCATCTTGTCTCACCCCTGCCATGGGCAGGGACACCTTCACTATCCCAGGCCGCCCCAAGCCCCATCCAACCTGGCCTTGGACACTTCCAGGGATCCAGAGGCAGCCACAGCTGCTCTGGGCACCCTGTGCCAGGGCCTCACCACCCTCAGAGCCAAGAATTCTGTCCCAATATCCCATCTAACCCTGCCCTCTGGCAGTGGGAGCCATTCCCCCTTGTCCTGGAACTTAGATCCTTGTCCCAAGTCCCTCTCCAGCTCTCCTGGAGCCCCTTTAGGCCCTGGAAGGGGCTCTTGGGTCTCCTCAGAGCCTTCTCTTCTGCAGTGAACAGCCTGGCTGGCAGGAGGCTGAAATCTCAGCTCTCCCAGCCTGGCTCCACAGCAGACGTGTTCCAGCCCTTGGATCATCTCCATGGCCTCCTTTGGACTTTCTTCCCCAGCAAACTTTGCACTCATGGAGGGTTTTGCTGCTGCTGGGTGTCAGGGAAGGGCCAGGGCAGCTCCTGGGGCTCCACTTACCTTCACGGTGGCTGAATAGGTGAACTTGACTGAGGGGGTGTCGAAGCAGGGGAAGAAGGACCTGTTGAGCACAGCCTGGCCCTGGGTGTACATGTAGGGCTTCTGCTTCCCTGCCGTCTGCTCAGGGGACAGCCAGCACACCTGGGGGGGAACAAGAGCCCAGTGAGGGGCGGCTCGACCACGGCTGCTCCCTGTGGAGGGAGCTGCGAAGGGGCTCCACACCCAGAGGTGCTCTGCCCACCCCAGGCCTGGTGTCCCCTGGACCAGCCCCCAGGTCCCCTCAGGTCTGGCAGACCCCAGCCCACACCCAGTGTCCTCCCGATCCCTGTGGGCCTGGGTGTCCCACGGGGTTCAGCGTCCCTTCCATCCAACACATCACCTGTTGGGCTCAGTATTTCCTCACCCCACCCTGCTCATCCCGGGCCCAGTGTTCCCCAGTGTTCCCCTCCCGACGCCGGGCTCGGTGTTCCCCGGTGTTCCCCTGCTCATCTCGGGCCGGGTGTTCCCCGGTGTCCCCCTGCTCTCTCTGGGCCCGGTGCTCCCCAGTGTCCCCC